ATCTCCCATTCTTGGGACTTGAGCTGTCAGCTTATCTGTCGCACCTGGGATTTGTCGATCTACACAGCCTGTGAGCGGGAGCCCTGCTCTCCGACCTGCCGATCTTGGGATTGCCAGCTTCTGTGGCTATGTGACTTGGGAGAGGCCTCTACCCTGATCCATGGACTTGGGACGTTCTAGCCTCTACAATCACATGAGCTGTTTGCTTGATATAATCTCTCTCTGTATATATTTATACATTTTACTGGTCTTGCTTCTTTAGAGAACCCAGCCTAAGACAGTGTTCCATCAATTTCTGGAGGCTTGTTTTTCACCAGTGCTTTCAGTGCAGCTTGGACAAAGTCAGGTAGATAGGCATATGCAAGTGTAATACAACTAAAAATTGCAAGAAAAATACAGAGACAGTACAAAGGATGAATAGGGAGGGGATGTAGGAAAACTTTGCAAAGGAGATATGGCTTGAGCTGGGCATAGAAATTTATTTTCTTACCATTTTGGAGCCTGGGAGTCCACGATCAGGGTGTTGGCCATGTTAATTCCTTCTAAGGCTTTGAGAGAGAATCTGTTTCATGCCTCTCTGTCTACTCTAGGGGAAGATCCTTGTCTTTTCCAATTTCTGGTAACCCCAGGCTTCTTGGTGTTCTTGGCTTATATATGCATCTTCACATGAACGTCTCCCCTTTGTGTTACTCTCTGTATTTGTTCTCCTCTCGTATGAGGACAGCACTAAGGTTGAATTAGGACCCAACCCACTCAGGTAAAACCTCATGTTAACTGATAACATCTTTAGAGAACCTATTTCCAAACCAGGTCACGTTCACAGATACCAGGGGTTATCCTGAGGGGACACAATTCAGTCCACATCAGACAGTAGGATTTCAGTAACTGGAGATGGAGGTGATGGTAGACAAGTAGGGATAAAGGGGAATAGAGGGAGGTACACATGCAAAGGCTGGTAGGCTAAGAATGCATGGCTTAGTTAAGATATGGAACAATGTAGCCATCTCTTTTGTACCTGGAGTATGGGCAATGTTTGCGTGTGCAGGGACTGTCTTACACTGGGATGTAAGTCTGTATTCAGTCTAGTCAGTTTTTTTTAAATGGAAGATTTCAAATATATACAGAAGTAGTCAGGATAGGATACTATACCCATGAGCTTCAGCAATTAACAACTCATGACCAATATTGTTTCGATGTATACCATACTCGCACTCTACCCCTGTTATAGATTGAATTGTTTCCCTCCAAAATGTGTGTCAGCTTGGCTAGGTCATGATTCCCAGAATTGTGTGGTTGTCCTGCATTTTGTGATCTGTTGTATTTGTCCTGTGTGTTGTAAATCCTAACCTCTATGATGTTATTGAGGCAGGATTAGAGGCATTTATGTTAATGAGGCAGGACTCAGTCTACAGGATTAGGTTGTATCTTGAGTCAGTCTCTTTTGAGATATAAAAGAGAGAATCGAGTAGAGAGGAGGGGGATCTCATACCACCAAGATAGAAGAGCCAGGGGAAGAGTGCATTCTTTGGACCTGGGGTCCCTGCTCTGAGAAACTCCTAATCCAAGGGAAGATTGATGACAAGGACTTTCTCCCAGAGCTGACAGGGAGAGAAAGCTTTCCCCTAGAGGTGGTGCCCTGAATTTGGACTTCTAGCCTCCTAAACTGTGAGAGAAGAAATTTCTGTTTGTTAAAGCCTTCCACTTGTGGTATTTCTGTTATAGTAGCACTAGATAACTAAGTGGTGGCGCAGTGGTTAAGAACTCAGACTGCTAACCAAAATGTTGGCAGTTCAAATCCACCAGCTGCTCCTTGGAAACCCTATGGGGCAGTTCTACTCTGTCCTATAGGGTTGCTATGAGTCAGAATTGACTTGACGGGAACAGATTTGGTTTGGTTTTGGTTTAAATAACTAAGACAACCCCAACTACTGCCATATTATTTTGAAGCAAATTCCAGATAACATTTAATCTGTAAATATTTCAGTAAGTAGCTCTGGAAGACTTTTTTTAAAGCATAATCACAGTACGAATACCATTATCGCACCTAAAAAACACCAGTTCCTTACTGTCATTAGAAATACAAGCTGTGTACAAATTTCCAGTGGATTCATAAATGTCTTATAAATAGTTATTTATTTTTTATTAATTTGCTTATATCAGCATCCAAATAAGGTCCACAAATTGCAATTGAATGATAAGTCTTTTGAGTCTCTTCATTTTCACTTTTTCTCTCTTGTCATTTATTTGTTGAAGAAACCAGATTGTCTGTCCTATAGCTTTCCCCACTGTCGAGATTTTGCTGACTGCATCCTCATGGTCTTGTTTTACATGTTCCTCTCTTGTTTGTTTTTCCTGTAAATTGGATCTAGAGTTTTAACCAGATTCAGGTTTGTTTTCTGTTTGTTACTATTTTTCTTGTGTTGTTTTGTTTTGCATCATCACTTTATAGGTGGCATTGTGACTCCCATCTGGGGCACGTGATGTCTGGTTATCTCTCTTTTCTGATTTTAGTAGCCATTGAAGATCAGTGTCTCTATCTCAGTAATGCTTTACAGACAAGGAATAAACCCGTGTGTACATTCTGGTTACCATGCCATCTCTACTTTTTCACTTCCTAACCAGTTGATTCTGACTCATAGTGACCTCTTTTGTATCACAGTAAAATTACGCTCCATAGGGTTTTCAATGGCTGATTTATCATAAGTAGATCGCCAGGCCTTTCTTCCAAGTTGCCTCCTGGTGGACTTCAACAGCCAGCCTTTCAGTTAGCGTACTAACCATTTTCACCACCCAGGGACTCCCTTTCACTTCCTAGCCCTTATGAATGTTCTGTGCAGCGGAGAATTGTCTAATATACATATAAGACTAATTGGTTTCAAGTGACCTTTCAAAGCCAGTGTTAAATAGTTGCAAGATGTTTTCTTAGATTAAAAACAAGTCTACCTCATGTTTCAATGGATTTCCACAGCCTTGATTACTTGTGTTTTATACTCCATTAGAGTGTTCTTCCGATGCACTGGAAGTAAGGCAAAAGGGAAGCCTTGGTGTGGAAGTATTCCTTGTCAGGTATGAATTATTCATCTGTTTTTGAACCTTCTGTGTTAAGATTATTTAACCTGTGTCATAACCTGAAATGGTCTTGAAGTCCCAATATAAACTGGTTGGCCTTCACCAAACTACCTCTGAAATATAGCTCTTTTCTTTAAGCAAGTATAAAAACAACATGGAGGCGCAGTGTCTGACATCCTCCAACCCCACAAGGGGGAAGGAGAACCAAGATCAACAGTGTAAGGCTGATGACCAGACAAGTCTCCTCTCTTCATCATCTTTACTAATTCTGACACCATCTGTCCCTCGCACAACACTCTACTTCTCTGCTGGGTTCGATAATTTATTGCAATGGCCATGCAGAACTCACAGACTATACTCACAATTATGTGGTTTATTAGGGAAGTAACAAGTTACAATTCAGGCTCAGGAATACTCAAGGATACAGTTCTTCCATCAGGATAGCCTTTTCCCAGCTATGCTCGCAGGCACGCCTCTCCCTGGCCTTACGCCTCTGCCCAAAGGCACTCAGCTTTCTCTCCATGGGCCAGGAAGCCCACCGAGCTGCCTCCTGGTCACAGGTTTCCGCTGCCGGGTCTCTCCTGCCACTGCTTCTCACCTTCTTCAGGGTTACAGCTTGCTGTCTCTGTGGGTCTCCTGCTTCCAGGAGCTTCTCAGCACAGGGAGCCTGGGTCCAAAGGATGCGCTCTCTGCTCCTGGCTGTTCTTCCTTGGTGATGGTAGGATACTGGTCTCTGCTCTGAAATTGGCTCTTTTTTAAGGCAAAACTGACCAGTCCCCTTGGTGGGCCACAATTACCCTGTTACACAGTCCCGCCCAGTCACCTGGGTGGGAATTACAAGACCATGGCTAGAAAGGCCACACAAAAGTAATCAATCTCACCACAGCAAGGTGAGCCCTGTTGGGACTTTTAATTACAAGTACTGTTTGGTCATATTCACTATTTAATCGTTTGCCTCCTATGTTACTTATTTATATAAATATTTTTCAAGGTTTTAAATGTATTTAGTATTCTACTGAGGAAAAATTTTGACTACAGCATTTTTTTATAGACTGATAACTACTTGATACTGGTATAAACCGAGTATAAATCTTAAGCTTCTGGAGTGTTAGAACTAGGAGAGGCCCTACAGATACCCAGTACAAGGCTCTCTTCTCATAGATTAGGACTCAGACCTACGGAGCTGACCTGACTTCTTGTGGCAGAAGGTCTGGCTTGAACTTATGATTCTAGATTCCCACAGTGAAACCTTCCTAAAGCCAAAATCAAAGCTAGCATGGTAGGATGCTGTTCAGGCGTGGTGCATCTTGAAAGAATAATTTTTTCCTGAAAAGTTTACATTGTGACTGTTGTGATTGTAAAAGTAATACTACTGGATCTAAAGAATTTGGGTCAATTATTTCGTAGATTTAAGGTAATGGTTCCCAGCTGGTGGCGATTTTGCCCTCTAGAGGACATTTAGCAATGTCTGGAGATGTTTTTGGTTGTCACAACTTGGAGGGTTGGGTTACCTCTGGCATCTGGTGGGTAGAGCCAGGCATGCTGCTGAATATCCTATAATGCACAGGACAGCCCCTGCAACAAAGAATTATGTAACTGGCCCAAAATGTCAGTAGTGCCTAAGTTGAGAAACTGAATTACTGAGACAAGGGAAAGTATATCCTATCCGACATTTTAATGATAACTCTAAAAGCTTTTCATCTTAATGTTTCTTTTATCTTTTTCTTTGTTTGTTTGGTCGCTACTTTTCCTTAAGGCCTGGAAAAGCAATAATCATTGACAGAGAAGGAACTAAGCACTAAAAGTATTGTTAAGAAACTATTACCTTGAGAGTTTGATGCGTAGTCTTTTCTAGAGGCAGATGTTATCCCAGGAATGTTCAGAAATATTGGGCTACTCTTACTGTGTTTCCATGTCCTCTGAAAAAGGCTTTCTAGATATAAAAGTTGCATTAATATTTTATATTAAGATTAATGTTTTCTTTACCCGTTAGGATCCTAATTCCAAAGAACATTCTGTAACCAGTAAGGTTCAGGATGCCCCTGAGCCATTTCATCATCTTTCCAGCCAGCAGAGAAACCCATTCAAGGTACTTGACAAGAATCAAGAACCATCTCTCTGGAAACAGCTCATCAGAGGTGAAGGTGAGGAAAAGATGGTTGATAAGAAGCAAAGGGAAAAGGGAGATCAGATCTTCAATCAAAAGAAGGAACAGAAGCCTGAATCTAAGTGCTGGATGGAGAAGGCTCTCTCATCTGGCATGGTGGTAAAGAAAAAACAATCTGCAGTTCAAGAGAAGAAGCAAGGGGAGAGAAGAGAGTTTCAGTGTGAAGCAAAGGAGACTGAAGGCTCACACAAAAGAAATGTTTCTGAAGTTAAACCCAAACAGTGCCCTGGTAATGAACTGAGAAAACCATCTGCATCTTCTCAGGAGAAATCAAATGGAGAGAGTGGTGATGTCCAAAATGAATCAGAACCTCTGAGAGAAAAGGAAACCAAACTTTTGCCTCTAAATGTTCACAGTCAGAATTCAGTAAGCAAGCCCCAGAAAGGAGGCCACCTCAGCAGGGACCACCCCAAGAACTGGGAGGCTAGAGAGACAAAAGCGAAGGATGACTCAAGCACGCAGACTGTCCAGAAGAGGCTACCCCATGGGAATTTCCAGACACAGTCGGAGACTCCTGATGTGCCTGCTCTGCAAGGACCAGCTACCCAGTCTGCACCAGCAGCAGCAGGCCTTTCCCGGGGAGAGGGACGGAAAGCTGACACAAGCAGTGATGGCAGTGAGGAAGAGGGTGTTATTTTTGTTTCCTTTAAGCCAGGGAACCCCCCACTTGACTTGACTTTGGATTCACAGAAGAAGGAGAATCTGAAATTATCGCATCAAAGTGAACAGAGAAAAGTATCTCCTATCTCAGGTGTTTCCAGGAAGGTGGAGCCTTCAGACCCAGCAGCCCAACGAGTGTATCTCACAACTCAACTGAAGCAAAAAAAGGTAACTGTTGACTTGTGTTTTGTTTTTCAGGGCAGATCATGACTTGCTGTGGCATATGTGGGACCCCACAAAAGATGAAATATGTTAATGGGGGAAAGGTTTTATAAGTGGATGATTAGTTTCTGCCGTTTCTTATGTCTGTATTTTCAGATTTGGGAAATCAGCTGGGTTTTTAGAAAAAAATAGTGTTTTTTACACACATGGTTAAAAGACTAAGTTTTGAGTTCTAGGATATTTTAATCTGAAACTCTCCCTTTAACACTTGAGAGGAGAGAAGTCAGTTTTATAGGATCTGTTTTTCAGAGCACACTGGCATCAGTGAACATCCAGGCTCTTCCAGACAAGGGTCAGAAGTTGCTCGAGCAAATCCAGGTGTTGGAGGATGCACTCAGTACTCTCAGCCTCTCTCCAGAACAAGGTAAAGGGGTTGTGCCCCAGAACTTGGGGTTTGCATGAACTTTCAAAGAGATGTTCGGGGAGCCATTTTGATAAAGAGTGTGTGATCCAGTCACCTTTCCATTTTATTATCTGCTTCTGAGCTTTCTGTTAAAAACTATTGATTTCTAAAAAACTATTTCTCCTAATTCATGTGGGCTAAACTTTCTGTCCTATTGTTTAAGCATCTTTTATGATCCTGCGTTCTCTAGGAAGCCTTCTCCAGCTTATTAAACATTGATGACCCCACCCTTTCTTGACCTCACCTCCACACATACAATTCCTTCACTTACTTTTCTGAACTTTAATTTGTTCTTCCTTTGTTTTTTGAGCAGGAACTAATGAGAAGAGTAACAGCCAGGTACCACAACAAAGTAACTGCACCAGAACGACCACTGACCCTCCCCAGTTGGTGCCTCCCAAGACCCTACAGGGTCAGGATCTTCAGCCTCCCGGTTCTCTAGGACTAAAAGCTGGAGGATCCAGTCAATACTGTGGAGGTAAGACCCAAAGGCCTGGCCTGGTGTGAATAGTTACACTTATGAGTCAAATGCTGCCTAGTAGATGGCTTTATGTCCATGTGAAGGGATGAAGCCATTCTTTACTTGTAAGTTGTCCATATAATAAAGATCTTGATGCTCAGTAGAGCTTTGCACAGTGTTGTTCATATCTCTGTGAATGCAGAAACTGTCTATATGGTTCATCACGGTCCCGATCAGCCAGCCTAGTGCGTGGCACATAGTAGTAGTCTAATGAATGTTTGTGAATGAAAACTTAACTCACATTATTAGAAGGTAGGTAGAACAGGAGACATTATTATTCCTTCTTGAGTGTGTGTGAAGGCAGAGCAGAGGAGTGACATGAGTGAAGACCTGTGACTGATGGACCCACAGGGAGCAGTAACACCTGTATAGCTAAGTGCTTCTATCTGGAATCTTCCAGAAGAGCTTTGAATTCAGAAGTAACTGCAGAATGAAGATCCCAAATAGGGTCTTAAAAGTGTAAGACTGTCAGCTGGTTTGCTGATGAGAATATAGGAGCTCATGTTGACAGCCAGCGACCATCAAACGTAAGGCCAGTTTTCTCCAGATTGAGAACTGCTAGAGATGTAGAAAGGAAAAAGGAGAGAAGAAAAAAAACAGTGAGAAAAGGAAGACAGTAAAGAAAATTGAAGAACAGTATTTAACAAGAAATAGACTTAGTGCCAGTTGAAGCTAAGGTCCCTCTAAAAGGGAAAAGAGAAAACATCCTTGTTAAAGCAGCATGACAGTCTTGGCTGCTTAGAAGGCCTTTTGAGAACACCTTATTTTGCAGCATGATTGAGTAATCAGTGATGACTGAGCCACCTAGAAAAAAATTAAATGATGTCAGATTATGAAGGTAAGAAATAAGTAATTTGTTTCAGAAAGAATTCCATCAAAAATTTTTTTTCATTTAAATATAATTTAACATTTAAATGGTTAATTTTTAATCTGTTTAGGAACCTTTTGTGTGGGACATTGCATCCCTAAAATTGCAAACACCTGAGGTACCTGTATTTACCAATTAACTTCTAGAAATTACCTGTGTAGAATGAATGGGCTAAAGGCATTGAAGTATTTCCCAGTGCAACGTACAGTCACCTCACGACCTGCACTGTAGCAGTCGTCTCCCCCTGTTTGCCTAAACTTCTACAGATTTCCTCCAGCTTGGCCTTTTTATTGCTGCATTTCTTTGCATCCAGCCCCAGGGATCTTTTCTTCCTAAAGTATTGATAGGGTTGCTTTTTTCTCTGCCACTTCTTCAAAGCTGGAGAAAAAAACTATTAAAAATATTTGGGGTTATCTTATTTTTTCATTATACTTTCTGTTGCTTTGTCCTTTGTTATAATAATCATTTATGTGATTTAAAACAAAAAAACAGAAGGGGATGGAGGAGCCTGTGAATCTAGATGAATCTGGAGCCAAGGATTTTTGGTCAGTGCATGATTCTTTATATGGCAAATAATTAACTGCCCTTTTGCAGCTCTATCCAGGACCTAATACTTGTGATACCTTCAGGTTACACCTGTTTGTATGCAGGCCACACAAGCCAAGATCGCCTTCATGCAGTGTGGAAAATCACAAGTGAAGCCATTGACGAGCTGCATCGATCACTTGCATCGTGTCCTGGTGAGGCAGCAGTGGCGGAAGACCCTCTTGGGTTGAAGGTGAGCCAGGGGAGACTCACAGTACAGAGTGTCCTATAGCAGCTGACCAACACCCGCGAAGAGAGGGACCACTGTGAAACTGCCCGGCAGAGTGCTGTTTTGTTTGATCTTCTCTACAGATTGATGTTTTAGTGGGTTCCCTTGCAGTGTTTTCTTTCTTTATGTTAAGCCATAGAGTTACAACTTAGAGCAGTGAAAGATTCATTTATTGAATTTTAGTAGGTGCCACAAGGATGCAAAGGAATAGCTGCTCTTAATGAACCAATTGAGGCAAAAATGCATATGCAGTATACATAAAACAATTAAGAAAGGGCTTTAAGACAATAAAGGTAAAATGATGTGTATTATAATATACTGTAGACTGTATGTTGTTAGCTGCCATTGAGTCAGCCCCAACTCAGTGACCCCATGCACATAGGATCAGACCTTTGTGATCCGTGGGGTTTTCATTGGCTTTATTTTTGGAGGTAGATTGCCAGGCCTTTCTTCCTAAGACTGTATACAAGGTGCAAAAGGGATTTCAAAAAAAGGAAAGGTCACTCAAGGTCAGTATTTGTTACCTGCCTACTTTATGCCTTAAAGAAATTGCAAAACTAAAGACAGCAGAAAAGATAGCAACAAAACACTCCAGTTAGGAGTGGTGGTGAGAAGGAAGATACAGAGATTGGTATGAATAAGTGATAATCAGGTGTCATCAGCATCTGAATTGGGGAGTAGCAGGCAGTATAACCGAGTAGATGGACTCATTTGCGGTGGAAGCTGGCATTGGTGAAGGAATTTAGATTTGGATAGCTCATGAAGTATGGAATCACTATAGAATTTTGAGAAGGGATGTATTATTTTTGTCACAGAGTGCAAAATAAACTAGAGTAAGAAAAGACTAGAAAGGGGGACTCTAGCTGAAATTTATGACTAGCAATGTGGACTGGATGTTGGCTACAGAAAAATTCATATTTAAGAGATAATGAGGAAAAGCGAACTGAATGGCTAGTGAAAGTACGGTGACCAGGCAGAGGTCTTGATTGGAAGCAGTAGAAACTGAATTTGGCTGATTAAGCAGACAAACCAGGACATTTGCGAGTGAAAGAGGGCAGTCTTAATAGTAATGCTGGACAAAAGCCTAAATCAGGATGTATGGTTACTCATGGTGAAAGAGAAAGTAGGATCAAGTACTTTAGGGACAAATGAATGCTTATATGATGACAACTAGAATATCGGGGGGTCACTTGTAAAGGAAGAATAGGAAATAAAAGGCCGGAGTGTAGAGTCCACGTAGCTAGGATACAGCATAGCCTTTCATCAGGCAGTCTATACTTAACATTTGATTATTACCGTTGTTAGGTTCCTTTGCTTCTGCACCAGAAGCAGGCATTAGCCTGGTTACTGTGGCGGGAAAGTCAGAAGCCACAAGGAGGAATTCTGGGTAAGTTTGGCATTATAATAAGAGCCAGCATTTATTGAATGCTTAGACATTATGCTAAATGTTTTACGTACATTATCTGATTATCATAACAACCGTATGGGGTAGGTATTCTAATCCCCATTTTATGGATGAAGAAACTAAAGTGTAGAAAGGTTAAGCAGCTTGCTAAAAAATAACACAGCTAGAGGATCAGTTAGAAGTCTTCTTGCAAGCAGTAAACACTGACTCTGGCTGATTAAGCAGAGAAGGAGTTTATTCTGTGGTGGCCTATAGAATCTCTAGGAGATGGGGAGAGCCAGGCCAGAGACCAAACTTCCAGAAGCAGTCACCAAAGCAAGTCATAAATAGAGTGTGCTGTGGAAACTGTCACTGTTGCTTTGTTCTACCTAGCACTAGAGAAAAACAGTGCCACCCCACAGCTGGACACTTCTGTCTCCATCACTAACTGAAGAAAGGATTCCATAGGGAGCCTCTTTTCTAGAGTTGCTTACATCTGAATTGAATTGTCAGTACAGCTGGTCTGTATAGCTAGGTGCTGCTGCCAGTGCGTTAGCTGCAGAGGAGGCTAGAAGCTTTGCCTTGGGCACTCAGCAAGCTAAAAATTTCCAAGGTGCTTAACTTCCAGAAAACATGACGTATGTCCACTATGGCTAGGAAGTGGCTATATTGGGGATCCCCAAGATTAGCCCCAGGTTTGATGATTTACTAGCAGGACTCCCAGCGTATAGTTGTATTCGTGGCTATGATTTACTATAATGAAAGGATACAAAGTGAAACCAGCAAAGGAAAAAGACACATGAGATGAAGTTCAGGGAAAACTGTGTGCAAGCTTCCAGAGCCCTTTCCTAGTGGAGCCACACAGGACACACTTAATTTTCCCAGCAACGAGTTATGACAGCACATATGAAATGTTGCCAACCGGGAAAGCTCATTAGAGACTCAGCATCCTGAGTTTTTACTGGGAGCTGGTCACGTAGGCAGTCTTAGCTTGACATGTACCAGAATTCCAGGCTCCCAGAAGGAAAGCAGGTGTTCAGCATAAACCATATTGTTTGTGCAAACAGTTTAGGCACAGTGAGCCACTATTACAGTTCTTGGAGTGGTGATAGCCTTCCTCAAATCCAAGTTTCCATACGCCAGCCAAAGGCCAACCTTATATGAGGCCTTTCAAAGCATAGCAGTCAGGTCTGCTATGTTAACTCTTTTCTGCACAGTGACAGAGCCAGAATTTGAACCAGAACCCATGCTCTGTCATTTTACATCTGGTACGTCAGAGTGATTACTTTAAATGATTACAATAGCCAGACTGAGCCTTGGTTTTTTAATCTATTGAAATAAGGATGTCATGGATTGAATTGTGTCCCCTAAAAATACATGTCAACTTGGCTAGGCCATGATTCCCAGTATTGTGTGGTTGTCCTCCATTTTGTGATCTGATATGATTATCCTAAGTGTTGTAAATCCTAACCTCTATGACGTTAATGAGGCAGGATTAGAGACAGTTATGTTAATGAGGCAGGACTCAATCTACAGGATTAGGTTGAATCTTGAGTCAATCTCTTCTGAGATATAAAAGAGAGAATTGAGCAGAGAGGAGAAGAAGCTCCTACCACCAAGAAAGAAGCACCAAGAGCAGAGCGCATCCCTTGGACCCAGGGTCCCTATGCTGAGAAGCTCCTAGACCAGGGGGAGATTGATGACAAGGACCTTCCCCAGAGCTGACAGAGAGAGAAAGCCTTCCACTGGAGCTGGCACTCTGAAATGGGACTTCTAGCCTCCCAGACTGTGAGAGAATAAATTTCTGTTTGTTAAAGCTATCCACTTGTGGTATTTTTGTTACAGCAACACTAGATAACTAAGAGGATAATAGTACTTTATAGAGTGTGAATAGAAAATGAGATAAGCTGAGTGACTAGCACAATGACCGTATCTGTGTTCATTTACACCCTTTTTTGTGAATTGGTACAAGGGATGTTTTAGATTATTAAGGGAATGGAGGGCTGTTTTGAGTTTCTCCAACTCCAGAAATGTGGTAGCACCAGTAAAGTAAGTAGTAGGATATATCTACTGGACCTTTTTGCTTTTGGGGATAACAGATAAAAAGACCAGGCAACTTCACCAAACTGAGATAAGTATAAATGAATGCATTAAATAGGTAACAATATAAAATGGAGACTAGACTAAGATCCAAATAGTATGTTTTAAATTTTGTAAGAGTTGTAAATGTCTTTGACCTAGATCTCAAAATTAATACCAACAGCTAGGAAGATGAAGGATTTTAATAAGGAATAAGGAAGATGAAGGAAGGAAGATTTTAATAAGGAAGATGAAGGATCCATTAGTTTAGGCAAAGAATAGTGACTGGAATGGCACTGACAGCAAAGAGAACAAGGGGTAAATGTCTTTACCAGTGGCTTTTGTCTCTTGAAGTTGAGTTGATAGTTTTTGTTTTGTTTTGTTTTTTGCCCTAAGTAATTAACTCTCCTATTTTCTTCCCACCAGCGGATGATATGGGCTTAGGAAAAACCCTGACAATGATTGCACTTATCCTGACCCAGAAGAATGAAGAGAAAAACAAAGAAAAGGACAAAAAGTCAATTACATCTAAAGATGGTATGCAAAAGCGCCTTCATAGCCTGCCATTTCTTAAACCATTTAAGCCAGCTGAGAGGGGACTTTGTTGAACTAGAGGATATTTCTGGTCATGTTTAAGTAATCTACTGGAAAACCAGTGTTAGACTACTTTCCTGTGATATCATTTCTGATGCTGTGTGTGCTAATTATGACAATTTTTTTCTCTTCTAACATAAACTTGACCTGAGATTGGAAAAAATGTATGAAGAAAGCTAAGGCTCTGGAAGATTTAGTTTAAGCACAGTAATGATTATTTTCGTTAATGTTGAGGATATAACTATAGAGTAGATCCAAATTAAAGTATTTTTAAGGAAGATCTATTACAAGTTGAGTTTTTAGCCATCATAGAGTAAGCTGTTTTCCACGTCAGCTGTGAAAGAAAATTATCAGGAAGATTATAGACAATTTCTATCTTATCTCAACCTATGTTTTTAAAATGTAATAACTGTATTTAAGTATCTTATAAAGATTGTATAAAGATCTGATGTATTATGTATAGACACACCACTTATAAGTTGCCATGTACACAGATACAATCTCAGTTGGTTAGATAACTAAAAATATCTGTGCCGTCTACTCTCAGGGCCTTTAACGAACCCTGCTGCAGCTGGATCCCATGTCCTTGCGTACAGTAGTAGCATGTGTGCACGCGCACACACACGTCAGAAGATGTTACCATCGGTTCTCAACTCTGTTAATGGAGGCGCAGTGGTACTAGTGATCACTGTTTCCAAAATAATGTTTATCTTATAAAAGAGCTTTTGTACTTACATTCTAGTGTGAGTGTACATTAAATTATGCTTTTCAGAAAAATTAGTGATGCTACCCTGAATCAGCTCTGGAAGAGTTAGCTAGGAAATGATCCAGCCTCTATCTTCTGGCCACTCAGTGAAAGTGCAGTGCGTTTTTAGACTGAGGCCATGTACTAGACACTCTCCTCTCCCTCGTTAGTCTGCTGTCCCTTTGACACTTTTATGGGAGAAAATAAAGAATTAAGCATTTTGGTTTAAAAGACTGTGTCTTCCAGTTGGAAGAGCAACAGTTGTTAAAAATGCTAATTGAAAGAATAATGTAGTCAGGTAATGCATTTAAGAAGTTAAAGTTAATGAATGTAACTAGGTGTTGATTTTCCTTCCCTCTCAAGAGTCCTGTAACTTTACTTCCCATGGAACACTAATTATCTGTCCTGCTTCCCTGATCCATCATTGGAAAAATGAGGTAGAGAAACATGTGACCCTCGACAAACCAAGAGTCTATCTTTATCATGGGCCAAACCGGGATCAACGTGCAAAAGTGTAAGTGCAGAAATACCGCAGTCTTAGAGGTACTCAGCATCTTGGCTTAAGGAACCATACTGATCTTCACTAATAGGGATAGGTAGGAAAGAACACCACCCAGAACCTATCCATTCTCCCTGAGAATTTATTTAATCAGGGCTAATGGTATTTGGAGCTCTGGTGGTACAGTGGTTAAAAGCTTGGCTGCTAACCAAAAGATCAGCAATTCAAGTCCGCCAGCTGCTCCTTGGAAACCCTGTGGTGCAGTTCTGCTCTGTCCTGTAGGGTTGCTAGGAGTTGGAATTGACTTGATGGCAGTGGGTTTAATGGTATTTGTAAGGAACCCTGGTGGCGCAGTGGTTAAGCGCTTGGCTGCTAACCAAAAGGTTGTTGGTTCAAACCCACCAGTGGTTCCATGGGAGAAGGGTGTGACAGTCTGCTTCCATAAAGATTACAGCCTTAGAAACCCTGTGGGGCAGTTCTACTCTGTCCTGTAGGGTTGCTGTGAGTCGGAATTGACTCTACGGCAGTGAGTTTTGCTTTCAGTGATATTTGTAGGGACAGTGGAGGTTCAGTGGTAGAATTCTCCCTTTCCATGGGGGAGATCTGAGTTCCATTCCCAGCCAGTGTACCTCAAGTGCAGCTACCACCTATTCGTTAGTGGAGGCTTGTGTGTTGCGATGGTGCTGAACAGGTTTCAGCAGAGCTTCTAGATTAAGACAGACTAGGAAGAAAGGCCTAGTGATATACTTCTGAAAAATTAGCGAGTGAAAAATCCTGTGGATCACAATGGTCCAATCCTGTTGTGCATGGGGTTGCCATGAGTTGGGGGCCAACTCAACAGCAGCTCATAGCAATATTTATGAAGACCAGCAGCAGATTTTCATTCTCAAGATCAAACGGTTTTCACTCTGTATTAAGAGATACATCTTGAGAGAATGGTGTCTTTTTGATGTGTCTTTGTCACTATCTCCAGCAAAAGCTGCTACATGAGATCCGGGAAACCCTGGTGGCAGAGTGGTTAAGAGTTCATCTGCTGACTGAAAGGTCAGCAGTTCGACTCCACCAGGCACTCCTCAGAAACCCTATGGGGCAGTTCTGCTCTGTCCTGTAGGGTTGCTATTAGTTGGAATCAACTCAGCAGTGGGTTTAAAGAGACCTGAGATACCTCAGTTGTCAGCCAGGTGGCAGCAGAATTCCCCCTGGTAAAAGGATATATCACAAGTATTTCATAGTTGTTAAATTTCTGAATCTGACTTTATGTTTCTTTTGTTAGTGTGAATGGAATCATCCCAGTCTTACAAAAGATCTTGATATAATACCATTAATCAGTTGATATTTTTGTCTAGTTGCCATCAAGTCAGTCCTGACTCACGGTGACCACGCCCATCCATGTCAGAGTAGAACTGTGTTCCATGCGGGTTTCAATGGCTATGATGTTTCAGAAGTAGATTGCCAGGCCTTTCTTCTGGGGCACCTCTGGGTGGATTTGAACCACCAACCTTTTGGTTTGCTCCACCCAGAGGAGCTTATTAGTTGATAACCAAAACTCATTGCCATTGAGTTGATTCCTACTCACAGCGACCCTATAGGACAGAGCAGAATTGCCCCATAAGGTTTCTAAGGAGTGGCTGGTGGATTTGAACTGCCAACCTTTTGGTTAGTAGCAAAATGCTTAACCACAGTGCCACCAGGGCTCGTATTAGTTGATATGGATGAATTATATTTCTGTGGATGTATTTTTCGTATATGAACCAGGTTAGAGGTTTTATCCTTAAGAGGATGATTAAACTTAATTGTAAAATTCCTGAAGGAGGAGTCTCAGGAAGGAGGAAAGAAACTGTTTCTCTAGATGAAATATCTTAGTCATAGTCTTTTTTTTTTGTTTTGAAGGAATTGTTTTCTGTTTGTAATTGTGATATGAGGATCTGGGTTATGTAATTGCTGATCTAGTCAAGGATAATAGTAAACTTGTTTCTACTTCTAGGTAATCTCTCTCCCCAACCTCTAATATTGGATATTTTGTCTCCTAAAGAATGGGGCAGCAGTCTTTCAGGGATGAATTGCCAAATTTGTGAGTCTCAGTCATAGAACACAGTAACTTTCATGGCTGGTAGTCACTTCAGCAGGAGACAAAGGTATCAGGACAGCAGTGGCTGGCTGTGTGCCTTCTCTGGCATAGAATACTGTGAGTTGCCTGCCTTTGTTCCAAAGTGTTATTTAGAAATAGGTCTCACTTGATTTGTAGCTTGATCATACCTGGTTTGGTAGTCACAATGTACAGTTGTCTGATTGGAATCTTTATCAGTTATACATCATCTTTATATGATGTTAAGGCAACATGCAGAATTGTTTCCTTTCTGAATGAGGCAAGTCAGTTTTATCAAAAGTACTTATTAATATTCTCTCAGGTACACATTATTAAGTTTCATGGGAAGAAGATTTGTGCCTTTCATTAAGAATCTTTACATGTGAAGAGTATAGGCAAGATAAACTGAAAGCTTACAGCATGTATATTTATACCTAAATGTCAGAGCTAGATTAATGAGTTTTCACAAATACATTATAGAATGGTGAGGAGAAGACATCACTGATGTAAAGATAACAGTGCTTTGAGGGTTTCTTAGTTTCTTGGGACTTTAGTGTCATTCATCTCAAATCATCAAGCTTAATATGAATCCTAGCCAGAGATTTTCCTTTTTGACTCATTGGTTGGGAAGAGAGGCTGTTCTAGCTATAGTGAGCAGACTCTGAAAATGATCTGAGGTAAGAGATAAGGAAGACAAGTGGATAAAATTTGCCTCTCCAAAATCGTCTGTGTGGATGAAGGACATAAGTTAATGAATTCTGCCGTCTGTCCTTCCAGCCATAGGCATTTGTATAAAAGGGTTAACTCTACATTATCAGTCCATGGAGGAATGTTTTACCATTTTCTTCATGTTGTCTTTATGCAGCCTCTCCTCATATGACATCGTGATCACTACCTATAGCCTTCTGGCTAAGGAGGTCCCCATAAAGAAGCAAGAGGGAGAGGTCCTGGCTGCAGACCTCAGTGTGGAGGTGAGGCCTGGGGCTGCCAGAGTTAGCAAAACTACCTCCCTGTGAGGTCAGAAATGTCCTAAATGTTCCACCTGTGGAAATGAATAGCTCTTTCCTCTGTCCTCTCACTATAAAAATGGTGTGGGGGCGGTGTCTGACCTCCTCTAACCCCACAACGGGTAAGGAGAACCAGGATCAGCAGCACAAGGCTGACTCCCATGAGGTGGAGGCCAGACAATCCTCCTGTCTCTGCTGTCTTTATTGTGACACCAACCATCCCTCCCACAACACTCTCTACTGGGTTCAATAATTCATTGAAGTGGCCGCACACAACTCATAGAGCATACTCAAAATTTTGGGGTTTGTTAGGGAAGTAAGAGTTACAATTCAGGCTCAAGAACACTCAAGGATACAGTCCTTCCATCAGGACAGCATCTTCCCAGCCATGCTCACAGGCATGCCTCTCCCTGGCCCTAGGCCTCTGCCCAAAGGTACTCAGCTTTTTCTCTCCATGGCCAGGAAGCCCACCACACCATTTCTTGCTGCCAAGTCTCTGCTGCTGGGTCTTTCCTGCCACTGCTTCTCACCATCTTCCGGGTTATAGCTTGCTCTCTCTCTCTGGGTCTCCTGCTTCCAGGAGCTTCTCAGTGCAGGGATCCTGTGTCCAAAAGATGTGCTGGCTCCTGGCTGTTCTTCCTTGGTGGTGGTGGATTCCTATCTTACCCACCTCTGGGATGGCTTATTTCAAGCCCAACGAGATAGCAAAACTGACTAGTCCTCTTGGTGGGCTACAATTACCCTATCATTACAGTTCTGCCTGATCACCTGGGTAGGAGTTACAAGACCATGGCGAGAAAGGCCACATTAAGTAATTCATTGCACCATACTGTCTCAGTGATAAAAGTGGAGATTTGGCTCAATATTTAGTTGTTTTTTAAAAACTAAATTGCCACATGGCAGTTATGGTAATAAACACATGAATATAGGAAAGCCTCACTTGTTGAAATTTTTATTTTAGAATATTTGGGGTATATTCTTTGATATTTTTTATATTTAGTATGTAGGCTAGTATTGTAGGCCGGTAGTGTTGAACACTAATGACCGAAGACCAGGCGAGTTGTGGAAGGACATCATACATGAAGAAAGCAAGAGGTTATTAAAAAGGCAGGAAAGAAAGAAAAGACCAAAATAGATGTCAGAAGAGACTCTGAAACTTGCTCTTGAACATCGAGTAGCTAAAGCGAAACGAAGAAATGATGAAGTAAAAGAGCTGAACAGAAGATCTTCAAAGGGTGGTTCGGGAAGACAAAGTATTATAATGACATGTGCAAAGACCTGGAGATAGAATACCAAAAGGGAAGAACACATTTGGCATTTCTCAAGCTGAAAGAACTGAAGAAAAAACTCAAGCCTCGAGTTGCAGTATTGAAAGATTCTACAGGGAAAATATTAAACGATGCATGAAGCATCAAAAGAAGATAGAAGAAATATACAGAGTCACTGTACCAAAAAGAATTGGTCGGCATTCATCTGTTTCAGGAGGTAACATACGATCAGGAACCGATGGTACTGAAGGAAGAAGTCCAAGCTGCACTGAAGGCATTGGGAAAAAACAAGGCCCCGGGAATTGAGATGTTTCAACACATGGATGCAACGCTGAAGGTGCTCACTCATCTATGCCAAGAAATTTGGAAGACAACTACCTGGCCAACTGACTGGAAGAGATCCATATTTATGCCTATTCCAAAGAAAGATGATCCAACCGAATGCGGAAGTTATTGAACAATATCTAATACCACACGCAACTAAAATTTTGCTGAAGATCATTCAAAAGCGGCTGCAGCAGTATATCAACAGGAAACTGCCAGAATTTAAGCCAGATTCAGAAGAGGACATGGAACCAGGGATATCATTGCTGATTAAGATAGAGCCTGACTGAAAGCAGAGAATACCAGAAGGATGTTTATCTGTGTGTTTTATTGACTATGCAAAGGCATTCGACTGTGTGGATCATAACAAATTATGGATAACATTGTGAAGAATGGGAATTCCAGAACACTTAATTGTGCTCATGAGGAACCTGTACATAGATCAAGAGGCAGTCGTTTGAACAGAACAAGGGGATACTGCATGGTTTAAAGTCAGGAAAGATGTAGGTCACGGTTGTATCCTTTCACCATACGTATTCAGTCTGTATGCTGAGCAAATAATCTGAGAAGCTGGACTATATGAAGAAAAACGGGGCATCAGGTTGGAGGAAGACTCATTAACAACCTTGTTATGCAGATGACACAACCTTGCTCACTGAAGGTAAAGAGGACTTGAAGCACTTGCTGATGAAGATCAAAGACCACAGCCTTCAGTATGGATTACACCTCAATGTAAAGAAAACAAGAATCCTCGCAACTGGACCAGTAAGCAACATCATGATAAACAGAGAAAAGATTGAAGTTGTAAAGGATTTCATTTTACTTGGATCCACAATCAGCACTCATGGAAGCAGCAGTCAGGAAATAAAAGATGCATTGCACTGGGCAAATCTGCTGCAAAAGACCTCTTTAAAGTGTTGAAAAGGAAAGATGTCACACTGAAGACTAAGGTGTGCCTGACCCAAGCCATAGTGTTTTCATTCGCCTCATATGCATGCAAAAGCTGGATGATGAATAAGGAGACCGAAGAAGAATTGACACCTTTGAACTGTGGTGTTGGCGAAGAATATTGAATATATCACGGACTGCCAAAAGAACGAACAAATCTTTCTTGGAAGTACAACCAGAATGCTCCTTAGAAGCAAGGTTGGTGAGACTATGTCTCACATACTTTTGAACGTGTTATCAGGAGGGATCAGTCCCTGGAGAATGACATCATGCTTGGTAAAGGAGAGGGTCAGTGAAAAAGAGGAAGACCCTCAGTGTGTTGGATTGGCACACTGGCTGCAACAGTGGGCTCAAACATAGCAGCGATTGTGAGAATGGCGCAGGACCGTGCAGTGTTTTGTTCTGTTACACACAGGGTCGCTATGAGTCGGAATCGACTCAATGGCACCTAACAACAACAACAACAGGCTAATATTTTAATAATAATATTTTGGTATCAATCCATCAATCCCTGCCTCCCCTTTCTATCCTTCACACCCCCTCAGAAAAAGGTTGCAAATAATAGGGCTACAAATGGCCAGCAGCTGAATGATAATCACAGGAAGAAACCTGAATGTTTGCTAGTGGATCCAGGGTATTCTCAGTTATATCGTTTAGAGGCTTTATTATATAATTATTGTGGAGCCTTTTCCCCCCTGAAGATAGTGTTGTTCCAAGAACTAATCTTTTGCATATGCTTTTATTTTTAGTGCAATAGAATATTCACAGATTTCTCTGTGGGACTCTGTAGAACATATTTTCCACTTAAGAGTAACTCTGACTTCTTTCAGATAATAAACCTTTTAGGTTCCTCAGTTCCCCATTGCTTTTAGGATAAAATCCAGATCCCTTTACATGTTACATTGGGCTTTTTATGATCTTTTCCTTATCTGCATGTCCTTTAACTCTCCCTATACCCCATCCCACCCTGTGGCACTTCATTCATGCTCAGTCTTACCAAGGAATTGTAGTTCCACCGTACTGTGTCACCTTGTTGTGTCTTTGTTCTCCCTTTGACTGAAATGTGTTCCCCTGCTCTTTCTCCCAGGCTAATTTGTTTTTACCTACTTCAAGAGTCCTTTCTGGACCACTCGTTTTCCACCTTCCCCTCGTTTGGTTGAATGCCTTTTGTAGCGCCTTGTGCTTATGTGTGTCACAGCACTCCATTTATTCAGCAAATATTGAGTAATGTCAACTAGGAGTCAAGGAGCCCTGGTGGTGCAGTGGTTAAGCACTTGGCTGCTAACCAGAAGGTTGGCAGTTCAAACCCACCCAGCCACTCCATAGGGAGAAAGACCTGGTGATCTGCTTCCGTAAAGATTACAGCCAAGAAAACCCTATGGGGCTGTTAAACTCTGTCACATGGGGTTCCTGTAAGTCAAAAATTGACTCAGTGGCACCTAACAACACCACTACAAGCCAGATGCTATTTCAGGTATTAGGGATACAGCAATGAGCAAGACTGACTACTGTCCTGGATTAAATAATCCAGTTGAATTTATTATATACACAGCATATTCTGATTATCTTTATACTTATTTGTCTCCCCCACTAGATTGAGCTCTTGAGAGTAGAAACTGTCCTTTATATCTGGCTTAGCATCTTACATATATATAAGTAGGCTTTTAGTAAATGTTTAGTGTATTTTAGTAAATTCAGTAAATTTGTTGAATGAATGAATTTGCAGGCTTAACACCTAGTGTACTTTTGGCCCATAGATACTGCTCAAAAGGTATTCAAAGAATAAATGAAAATTCAAATTAGAAAACATTTTACTATGAGGTACCTTAAGCTCAAGGACTTGGACTCTCAAGTGACTTGTTTATTGGTACCTGTTGAGAGTTTCTACTCCTAGTTTTTTAAACTTAACTCTTACTCTGTGTACCTGATATGAGCCCTCACAGTTGAAGGTAAGAGAGAGTCCTCAGTATTTGTTTGTTTTTTCCCTAATCAGTTTGAGCACATGTACATTTTCCCATGCTGTTGTTGGATTGGTTTCGCTCATCTTCCCTCCAGGGCATCTCATCGCCTTTGCTTCACATAGTCTGGGCTCGAATCATACTGGATGAAGCTCACAATATTAAGAACCCCCGGGTGCAGACTTCCATTGCTGTGTGTAAGCTACAAGCCCGTGCCCGTTGGGCAGTCACTGGGACCCCCATTCAGAACAACCTGTTGGACATGTACTCGCTGCTGAAGTGAGTAAACTCTGTAGGATTATGTAAATGTGAACCCTGTCAGTAACCGTTCATAATTATTTCATATCTCAGGATACAGCTCCACTGTGTGCCAAATTTTCTTCTTTAGCAGATGGCAAGCTGGTCAGCCTTTAAAGAACAAAAGGATTAATATTGATGAGAGAATATCTGTTGATTGACTGACTGATACAGGACTTTGATTACATCCAGCCCACATTCATGCAAAAATATAAGACAGTTTAGATTAAAGGAAGCAAAAGTCATCTTTCTTTAGTCCAGCGAATGTTTTTGGACGATTTCTGCTTTAAAACATACAGCCTGGGGTCAGGGCTGCAATTTATTTGAAGCAAACAGAAAAGAATACTGATTTTGAAATATTTTCTTTTATTCTAGTCAGCCCGTAAGAAGATTTGGAATTTTCTTGCTACCCTTTGAAGCTTTAGGAATAAATTCTAACTATTGGTTACATGTCCTGTTGCGATGATGTGGACAATGTTAATGGAAAAAGTCACATTTTTATAATGTGGTTTTCGTTACTGACTTAGATCCTTTTGATCTGCCTAACAGAGCTTTGCTATGAAATTCATTTTTAAAGATGATTGGATGACAGCTGTAACAGAAAATCTGATTTGTTTTTCATCTTATGTCTTTTTCATCCTTCCATACCTCTCTTTCCCCACTCTCTGCCCTTTTTCCCCAACAAAAAAAGATTTCTCCGTTGTTCTCCATTTGATGAGTTCAATCTGTGGAAGAGTCAGGTTGACAATGGTTCAAAGAAAGGAGGAGAACGGTTAAGTATTTTAACCAAGAGCCTTTTGCTGAGGAGAACAAAGGACCAGCTGGATTCCACCGGCAAACCTTTGGTAATCTCATTTATACCTGTCCCTGGGGAGAGCAGGGAAGGAGGATGACCATGTCCTTGTCTTGGGTTGAACAGCCGTGTATCTACTTTGCTTCAGGAGCCTCTGAATTTCCTATTTTCCTGATGAAGAGGCCCCAGGGTTGCTGTCCTGTGCTGTGTGTTATAGCAGTCCTATTTTTAGGGAAGGGTTGAAGCTGCTGTCTTGGGGTTGACTAGATTTCTAGTGTCAGATTTGGGGAAATTGCTTCATAGTGTTCAGTTAATTTGTATAGCTTCATGCCAGCACCCCCCCACTTTTTTTTTTAACTCTTTCAGGTGATGCTGCCCCTGCGTAAATTTCAGTTGCACAAGTTAAAGCTTTCAGAAGATGAAGAGACTGTTTACAATGTTCTTTTTGCACGATCAAGGTGTGTGCAGTGCAGATCAGAAGCACCTTCTCAGATGGATTGGTGTTTTCTTCCTGTTTTTGCCTGCTTGTGACTTGAGGGTCAAGTTTCCTATAACTATATTTATGGTATTACTGATTCATTGGACATTGGTTTTCCTTTTTTACCCCTTTCTTTAACTTCTTTCCTCCCTCTCCGGCCCAAGTCTGTCTTATGTACACATTGAAGACTTTTGACCCTGTTCTCTCATTGACTTCCTTGCATAGAAGTCCTAGAGTGTGGGCACTGTGTACCATATCTGTCTGGTCCTTGTGGGGCTGTACTGGGAAGTTATATCTCTTTATCTTGTCATTCATAGAGCCCTGGTTGTGTAGTGGTTAAGAGCTCGACTGATAACCAAAAAGGTCAGCAGTTTGAATCTACCACCCGCTCCTTGGAAACCCTATGGGGCAATTCTGCTCTGTCCTGTAGGGTCACTATGAGTCAGAACCAACTTGATGGCACCTAACAACATCTTGTCATTCAGCATCTCCCTGGAGCTTAAAAACAACCTGCTCTGTAATCCTTCCTGCCATTGGCTCTTTGCACTTTCTCTAGGACTCTTGCCCTTCCCTGAATTCCAGAGTTACTCTCTTTCACTTGGTACTCTCACTGTCACTTCCAGTGTGAATACATTTTTTTTTTCCTTTTCTTTTTATGCCTTATGTTTATTATTATGGAGCCCTTGCGGCACAGTGGTTAAACATTTGGCTGCTAAGAGAATGGTTGGCAGTTCGAATCCACCAGCTGCTCCTTGGAAACCCTATGGGGCAGTTTTACTCCGTCCTTTAGGGTCACTATGAGTCAGAATCAACCTGACGGCAATGGGTTTGGTTTTTTGGTTTATTGTTAGCTCATTTAAAAAAAATGATTTGGTTTTTTAAATACTGACTTCTTTTTCATAACCTTTGACAAATGCTTGCTGTGATTTTGGCATCATTTAAGAAGCTCGTGTCTATAATTTGCCAGGGTCTTGCTGCAGGCACAGTGACACAGTAATGATTGTAAACTTAAATTTAATCTTAGAGACCATTATGCATGCATTTTCTCTTTTGTCTGAGGCAGGTCGGCTCTGCAGTCCTATCTAAAAAGACATGAAAGCGGGGCCAGCCCATGTGGAAGAAGCCCTGATAATCCCTTTAGTAGAGGTAAGCAGTGGGACACTGCTCATGAAAATGGGGATACCAGTTCAGTAAAATAACAAAAATGGGAGATTATGAATTCTTGGTATCAGAAACTTGACCTTAACCAGGAACCTCAAATCAAAGTAAAATATATTGATTTGCTAGGCACTAGATCTGGTGATCTGAACTGTTTTGTAATTATTATTATCTAAATCTGCTTTATTAAAACCCAGTTAGGTCTCTGAAGAGGGGCCTGGTGGTACAATGGTTAAACTCTTGGCTGTTAACCGAAAGGATGGCTGTTCAGACCCACCCAGCAGCTCTGCAGAAGAAAGACCTGGCAATCTGCTCCCATAAAAACTACAGCCTATAAAACCCTATGTGACATTTCTACTCTGTCATGGGGTTGCTATGAGTCGAAAATTGACTTAACGGCACCTAACTACAATAAGTCTATAATGAAAACCAGTATTTCATTTGGCTTAATTCTTGGTTGGTACAGAAGTGAGTTATAACTATATTGTTGAATTGCAGACCAAACAATAAAACAGCCTCATTTAGTTCTTCCCCCTATTTTTCTTTTATAAATCCTGTACTATTTCTTGTGGTTTGTTTTCCTTCTTGGAAGTGGCACAGGAGTTTGGATACAGTGGTTCTGGATACTCTGCAGTGGCAGACTCTCAGAGGTCCAGCACCGTCCACATATTGTCACAGTTGCTTAGACTCCGCCAGTGTTGCTGCCATCTGTCTTTACTGAAGTCGGTAAGAAAAGCCTTTCGCGTACTGTCGTATGGTCACCTGAGAAGGCCATTTCAGGCTGTTGCGACTGTGATCCAGTCTGCTAGATCAAGGGAAAGGGTGTGTTGGGATTTTTTTTGGCGAGCTGGGGAAGAGGGGGGTTTGCTTATTTTACTTTACCTTATATGAATCTTGATAATTCCCTTAGTGTCCAGAACAGTGCTTTTTGGTTGGTTGTTTTGTTTATAAACTTATTCTAGAATGGAAAAGGGCATTTTGTTAAAAAGGAAACCATTTATAAATGCTTTGGTATTTCAGAATGTCATAAAGCTAACTCAGTTATTAGTGTTTTCTGCTTTGGGACAGTATTAGGACTTTTAAGTCTAGATATGAAAACTCAGGTATTCATACACATTGAAAAGGTGCCTTTACATTGGAGAGAGGCACGTCCATAATTGAGGGGAGTATGTGATTCTTTTGAGGCTCTCTAGTAATGTATAATAGCTTAATTAGCTGTATTGTTCCAGCTAAGAATAATAGAATGATCATGTAGTCTGTCTGGCAAGTCTTTAAAAAGTCTGTCATTTGTTTTATTTTTAGTCTGGTAAAAAACAAACTTGAAAGATTACACTTTAATTGGGTTTCTCTGCAGAGTTTCTGATGATAAATTAGAAAGCATTTTGCTGTATAAAGTGTTAAGCAATGAGCCTTCATCAGCAGGTAATATGACTTGCTGCCTTAAATTCCCAACTGCTCTCCTCTCCCTTCTTTATTTTGCCCAGGCCCTGGATCTGACAGAACTGAACAGTGAAGGCCTCATCCTTTCCCTGGAAGAGCAGCTCAGTGCATTGACCCTGTCTGAACTCCACAGCCCAGAGTCGTCTTCCATGGTTTGCGTTAATGGCACATCCTTCAAGGTGGAGCTTTTTGAAGACACAAGGGAGAGCACTAAGGTATTTTTGTCACCTCTAGTCTAGTAAGAGAGACTTCTTCGATTTCTCGCACATGTTCCTGTGTGGGAGAGCCTGCTGTGTCCAAGCTGGTACGGCCATTTGATGGCAGAGCGGGAACTGTTAGATTTTAGCTGGTCAGATTCTCCCTCCAGTCTTAAAGCCTCGTTTTATTTCACAAATAATCCAAAGCCTTATGATAAGTTGGGCCTTCAGAGAGTGATTTGGTACAGCCCCAGCATCAAAG